TACTTGGTGCTCCTATCATGCTGGGCGGAACGAATATCTGTGGATGCTCCAGCTATGTGTATATAGGTCAAGAAGTCAACATGATGAGCGACCTAGCTCCGGAGCTGGGCAGACGGAAACGCGCGGCGCGGCGTGGGGAGCATTCAAGAACGTTGAGGGAGTAGTGAAGAGAACGAAGAACATCCTGCTCCGCGCTCACCCTTTCGATACTGCGGTCCTTCCTGCTTTAACATAGCCTCAGAGTCTTGGACTCTACTAAGCAGGATGAGCATGTAGTTAGCGTCATTCAACGCGCTGTGGAATGGACGATACTCGGAGTTATGCAATATAGTGATGACCGTTGGACAAGGACGGTTACGGGCTGGATCCCTCGGGACGTCAAGCGAACACCAGGACTGCCGCCAACGAGATGATAAGACTTTTTCACGAAAGCTCTGAACGGAGGAAATGTTTTGCCCCGTGTCTCTCGAGCGAGTACGATTCAATGGACTACTCTACATAGCTCGCGACAGGGACGAATGGAGACGTTACTGGCGTCCCTTCGACGGGAGTTCAGGTACACGTGTCAGGTAATAGTTCTCGGTGCTTTTTATTCCTCAATCAATCACAGACTATTGTGCTTTCGCGTTTGTATGGTCAGAAAAAAGAAATGAAATAGATTAAATAAAAAACGATAACCTAGCAGTATTGATTATTATTTTTTTAATGCTTTTATGCAAACAAGTTTTTTGACGGTGTATCGTTTTCTTTATCGGAAATTTCGACGAAATACACAACCGCTAGTCGTGGGTGGAATTGACGTGATCAGCATAATCGCACTCTAACAAGGTTTGAGGTTCCTCGATCTGACTGCAATAGCTTAAGAGTTGAGCGTAGTATATACCACCCTGATGCTTCGGAACGCTTCAAGGCCATTCAGAACAAAGAATTTGCCAAACGGTCGGGCGAAATGAATGTTCTTTTACTGGAAAAACTTTTTTGGTACAAAAGCATGAAATATTCATAGGACGACAAGTGCCCAAACTTTGAGAAGAACACACTTAGAAGTCATTTTTGAATCGATAAGTTATAGATTGACTGTTTGGTTTGAACTCCACAATCAATCCCTGTTGCCTTTATTGCGGCAGTGATAGCTGGGATTACTGGATCCATCCTCAGTTTTGCACATTATGTTATGTAGTCGCAACCAACGAAGAAAAGATTCAACAAGAACAGGGAAACCATTAATGACGAGGCAACAGCGTCATCAAAATCACTTATTTGGAGATGTTGCCGTTTCATGACGCGCCATGATTCCAATGGAAAATTGTAAAAGCAGTCGCATGTTTGTTCCGCGCGACTGTGATTTACTGGAGCTTCAGTTGAACAAAGGTACTTTCATGAAACATCCATTCAATTAATCATCTCTCTTAGACTATCAGCCTTCTCATTACTTCTTTCATTTTGCTTTCGGTCGAATTTGGTCAGCCTCCTCACTACTACGGTAGCTTACATTACTTCAATTTGCTTTACGTCGAAAATGGTGGTCGTCATTCATCAATTTAGGTTCCTAGTAACGACGCTCTATTGAACAAGCACACGCGGGAGACAGTAGAAGTTAGAAGTCTACTGTAATGGCAAAGACTGCCTTCAACTGGAAGGTGTGCCCCCATCGAAACCCAGACCCAGCATAAACATCACTTGAAGCAACTTCTAGCAAAGAAGGATGTGAGGTATGTTCGTAAAATCCTGTAGTGCTTGACTTTCGGGGTTTCTCTCTGATAAGATGCGGGATAGATATATGGCTGCTCCGAATAAGGCGAATTTATAGATTCAGAAGAATTTACTCTGAAGTTTCTCGGTGTTCCTCGTAAAAGTCATTCCTCGGGACCTTGGCAATCATTATTACTTCGTCTAGTGTAGTTGTCTTCGATCACTGCAAATTCGAATGTCGCGTGACTTTGTGATGTTGTAGTTCGCCATTCGAAGGTAATAAATTAATAACTACTAAATAAATACTCTAGTTTCACGGGACTGTAAGAGGACTATTCAATGACATTATTACAGTTGCATTATTTACTGATTATCAGCCTTGAAGCTATGTACAGTCATTTCTTATCTCTTTTTTGTTAGAGGCTGGTATTACACTATAAACTTTGCATGATCGATACTTTTATAGAAAACTGTAGTGAACATATATATTTCCGAGTGTACCCACAACTCGGAGATGAAGTTTCTCCGTCACAACTCAACTTCATCATTTGCGGCATTCCACATCCTTTACAGGTATGTATGATTGTAATGAGCATGCCCGTGTGCACCCAGCGCAGAGAGAAGACATTAAAAATGAGAAATTGCGAAATTTCTACCAGTAGGCCAGCGTAGGATACTGGAAATTCCACAATATATGCGACTATGCTGTGCGGAGAATGTTTATTGATTTCAGCTCAATGTGGCTATCGACGGCTAAACAACTTGATCAAAGCTGACAGCAGAACGGTTCATCAAAGCGAAAACCCTAAAAAGTTGTAGCGTAATTCTGAAAGTACTAGGAGAAAGGAATAGTTCGTCGGAACAATACTGCTTTGATGGTAAATTCTTTTTCGAGATACAGCGACAGCATTCGAATGCGTATTCGAACTATACAGTGGCCAGCCACTGCCCAAATCGGCATTTCTAATTTCCCAAACGAGTATAGAACCATTCAGTGCCAATCCGGAGTTCGATCCTCGGACAACTTGGGTGCGATAATGCGCATTCAGCCACTACACCACCTCCAAGGTTTCCACGATGGCACATTGGTATAGGTAAGTGGTTGTGCTAGTTTGGCCTAAAACGAACAGCATTACTCAAACTATCAAGACTGCACTTATTTATCCAGAGCGGTGTCAAATTCAACAGTGGCAATGATCCACTGCTTCTATACATTCTCGATACATGATCTTGAAGGCTTCAACCGAACATTGCTCAGGAAAGCTGTTGATTTTAATAATGTTGGATTGGATGCAGTTGAAGTCGTGCAAATCTTAGCAATTCGGATTATAGTTTGTGATTGCGGACCTGTGGTTTAACCCCACCTCTTACAAATGGTTACTGGCCAACATTAAGCTGAAAAGAGAGGGAGCTCATGAACCCGTAGAAGCTCAACAAAGAAGATCTGCCTCCCTATCGTCGTTGATTTCAAATTCAGTTTTGGAAGAGGGAAAAGAGGTTTGTGGCGATGTACGTTCCTCTAAGGGGTGCTACTGGAAACTGCCAATTCTGTGGGCTAAGCTGACCATGGTCAGCCGAATGCAGGCGACAGGCCCCGTGACAGAGCGGCCTACGAACACCCATGTCACATCAAAATGTTAATGTCACTAAAGGAATCTCGATGTAAGGATACGGCATCCGCGGGAGCCGACAAGGAGTCACAATGCCCGGTGAGTGTGAAAAATATGTGAGGGCCCCCGGTGCAAGGACGGCATCGGGCGTTAACTGGGCTAGTCCGAAACCACGCTAGGTATGGGAAACCCGTGTTGCGACGTTAAAGTTGGCACGTTACCGGGACGCTTGTACGAGTTAGCAGGTCCTATCGCAATTTCAGGGACATTGGCCTCGGCTTCAAAGCCCTTCTTTGTGGTGGTCCCAAAACCACCAAAGCACTTGGATAATATTCTCTGAACGGTTCCGTGACTCGATAGTAAGCGTGAAACGCTTCGATAACCGCCTAATGAAGATCGTGGTGGTCATCGAACGCCAAAAATACCATCGCTTCTTGGCGTTTGCTACGCGGACTGCATGCCCCGAGCAAACCAAGGACAAGTTCTTTGACCTGCTTGATGAGAAGAC